ATGTTTTTTTTTTCTGAAGATAACTTTTCATGCAAAACAGAAACAACAGTAGCAGATGCTTCAAAGTTGATCTGAGCCCTGGCCAAGCTGCTGCTCCATCTATATTCTGGCTCTTGCTTTCTCCTTGCCAAAGGTGAGTAAGTACCTGTCACTTTCTACTGCCTCCGCTAACGCCTCTGTCCTTTTCACAACCCTCTTACAGGAAGAGCGGATCCGGCGTGGGGATGACCTTCGCCTCCAGATGGCCATTGAAGAAAGCAAGAAGGAGACTGTCCCTGCTAAGAAGGAGGTGAGGTGGAAGAGACAGGCTGAGAGCTGCCTACCATGATAGTTAAACAGGATCTCCCAGGGAAAGGGGTGATGTGGGTGGGAGGAGGGCAATGTAGAACAGCAAATGATTCTCTTTGTGCCCCAGGGGGTCAAAACTGAGAGGCATCTGTGTGGCAGCTTTTGAATGCTCAAGTAGAAGACCTGTCAGTCACAAGTAGCTAGGAACATGAGTTTTCGTTCAGACTACTTCAAGTTTATTACTAGTAGTCCTCAACTAACAACAGTTCATTTAGTGACTATTCGGAGTTACGACAGCATTGAAAAAAAGTGACTTGTGAACCATTTTTCACACTTAATGACCGCTGCAGCATCCCCATGGCCACATGATCAAAATTCAAATGACTCATCAGAGGAGGAGCCAACGTCGCGACGATACATCGTGCAGGCTCGACTATCCGAGCCCGCCGATGACACTTTTGCCCCTGGACGGTCCAGCAGGACCTAAACCGTCCCAGAGAGACGGTGACCAGGAAGTCAAAGCCTTGCTGGTCTCAGGGACACCGCAAAGTCCCTGATTGACCCAAGGGAAGCGCTTCCAACCGGTGGCAAACAGGCAGCCCCCAGCCTGACGAAGTCAGAGACGGCTCCAAAAGGAAAGGAAGTGAAAGTGAGTCTATCGGGTGAGGTTTTTTTTTACTTTGAGAAAGATTGCCCAAAGAAACCTTTTTTAAAAAAAATAAATTAGTCCTCTAAGTAAAGAATAAAGCGGCGAATTTAATCCTTATTGGATTGCCTTAGAAAGTTTTTGTTCTTGTTTGCAACTATGTTTTGCAGATTGAAGTGATTATAGCGTTTCCTGTTTCTCCACTTGAAGTGAATGGACTGATTTTTTCTTCTATTTTTTACCACCTTATTTTTTTTGGCTTAAATTAAAACTCTCTTTTTATTTTAACAAATTCCTTCTTCTATTTGCTATAAAATTATATTAAAGATACCTAAAGATTTTTGTTTTCCATAAAATTGAGAGAAATTATANTTTTTCAATCTTTCATTTCCAAACTTAATTAATGTCCTCTAAATGTCACAGAAATCCTTCTTTAATTCTTATAGATGTTACATCAGTCACTTTACTCTCAGACACACTCTTCTCGTCCCTAGATGGCACTCTTACTCTCTTTAATAAAGAAGAAGCTCTTCCCAAATTCTTAATCCCAGTCACAGTCAAAAAGAAAAGGGGATAAAAGTAAGCATATTTTCTTAAAGGTTCTTACCAACTATTTGGTCTGGACTTCCTCCAGCTTAGTCTCCGTTTTCTATAAATGTCTTCTATCTCTTCTCCAGATCTGTCAAAGGCTCCAGCCACTTGGTCGCCGCTGTTCTGGAGTGGAAATCCTGCTCCAATCTTTTTGAGTCTCATTTTCACCACTTCTGTCTTATGTCAAGGTAGATCTTTTGCAAAGCATTAGAAATAAAAGGTTCTCACCCAGCATAAACATGTTGCTTCTTGATTTTGTCTTCCTGATTCTTGCCTGGTTGTCACGACTTTGGATCCGCCATGCTGGCCGACTTCTCTCCCGCCAGCATCAAGGAGTTTCCCTTCATCCTAACAGGAGATTGCCTTTCTCCACGCTGTCTTCAGGGCTTCCCCTCTGCCTTTGCTAACCTCTCCGGGCTCAGCAATGCCCATTAGGGGTCTCCAGGCAGGAGAAATCAGATAGGGATAGTGGAGCTCCCGTTTCCCCACTCCTCTCCGTCATGACATCACCACCGGAAGCCCCCTCCATGCCACATTTCCTCCAACTCCACCCTTTTGTTTGTAAACAGAAAGCAAATAAATTCTCACAGAGATATTAAGATCTGTGCTGTTGTGCTAGATTTTATTTTTATTCTATTTGTATTAAGGAAAGATGTCTAGGTAACATCTTCAGGGCTAGAAGGGGTTTTGCACTGATAATATTATCTAATTGAGTAATGTAACATCTGCAAGAAAACAGCCAAGCTCGGAGAGCACCAAGAACCCCACAGTTCAACCCTGAGGTACAAATATTCTTTCAGAAACTGAATATATTGGGCAGTTCAAAATCTGGGAGGTGATGGGCTAGTTGATTGGATTGGGCTTTTGCAACCCAGTGTGGAAATAGCTTTGAGAATTGGAGATACCCTCCATCTGTCTGTCTTCTCCTCCTTCCTCTCCATGTGTCAAACTCCATTCCATGCCTCTTATGTTGTATTTCTTCCCTCCCAGACCCCTGCAGTGGCCGACGAAGACCTACAGCTCCAGCTAGCCCTTAGCTTGAGCAAAGAGGAGAATGACAAGGTTAGACTGCTATCATGCCACCCCACTCAGTTCTTGCTGAAATAATGAACTAAACTACTTTCTCTGAGCTAGTCTTGACCTCTCACATTTTTCTAACTAACGTGGCATTCTCTGTCTATCCAAGTCCGCATCCAAAGCAGAGTGATGGCAACAATCTCTCTTTCAGCTTTAGGCCTCATTTATTGTCCACTACCTGGTGAATTGTCCATTCTTCAGTTGGCCAGTTTCCAAGTTTCTCCCAGTGAGAGGCTCGGTAATGAAACCTGTCAATCCAGGTATCCTAAGCTTGGCCGAACTAGGACTTGAACTCAGGCCTACTAAGACATTTGATGAATGTCTCCAAAAGCTTGGACACAATATCCTGGAAGAAAATGTACTTATGAGTTGTTGATGGGGAAAAGGGATCAGACACTCAATTGAAAAGGAAGGCCATTTGGAACA